TCAGCATTATGACCAGCCTCCTCCTGGTTCTGACGCAGACGACGATGAGCATGTCGACCAGCCTGCTGGAGACGACGACATCGACATGGAGCTGCTCGGCGAGGACGGCTTCGAGTCCAAATCTGAGGCACTGCGCAAGGCCACAGAGGAGCTCCGCCAGGCCAAGCCCGAGGACCAGGAGGCTCTCAAGCGGAAGGTCACGGCAGCGGCAGCGGCCCTCGGCCTCGGCAAGCGTCAGAAGCGGCTTTGACCGCTCCAAGGTCAAGGGCCGCAAGGTCAAGGCTTGGAGATTCTGGTCTGCGAACGCCAACTCCTGGAGCTCGCTCCAGGCAGCCATCGACTGGCAGAGGGGTTGGGGGGACGCTACCAGACCACACGTTCTTTTGTGCCAGGAACATCGGCTCAAAGACACATCACGTATACGTTCGGCTGCAGGATGGCTTCGGTCTCGGGGCTATCATGGGGCCTTCGGCGCAGCTCGTGCCACAGGGTCGCAGGCCTCTGAGAGCTCGGCGGGAGTCCTCACCGCGGTGTCATCCTACGTGGAGTTCGCGGGGATCGGCCTCCAGAAGTTCGGGGTGGACGCCGCCTGCGGCCCGCGCCTCAAGATTGTCAGGGCAAACATGATTTTCCCCCATGGTATGTATCTCATGTCGGTCTACGGCCACGTGGAAAAGATGGCTTACTCCGTGTTCTGGGACATGCTGTCGCAGCTGGGTGGCAAGTTGCGCAGGTCCAGAATCCCTTGGGTCATCGGCGGTGACTTCAACCAGGACCCTTACGACGAGAGGATCCTGAAGTGGGCCGACATGCTCCAGGCCACGGTCATCGCCACGCCTGGGCCGACGTGCTTCTCAGGCCCGCAGGGCTCGAAGATAGATTTCTTTATTGTCAGCCAGGGGCTAGCCTCGTGCGTGTCGGATGTCAGGGCCCTCTACGGTGCTCCAATGTCGCCGCACGTGGCCATCAGCATGCAGCTCACGGGACCCTCGCTTGACATTCCTGTACATGTTCGCCAGACGTGGAAGGTCTTCCCCACGGAGCGTCCCACTGGCTGCCTCAACCACCCCATCGATCTCACCTGGTCTTGGGAGCCAGGAGAGGCACCGTCGATGGAGCTGGAGGACGCTTGGAAGGAGTGGATCGATAACATGGAGGAGGAGCTCTGCTGGCAGTTTGACATTGTGGGTAGGGCTGCGCAACCCTACAAGGGCAGGTCTGGCGGCTTCGGGAGGAAGGCCGTCCCACTGGCGGAAGTCATGAGGAAGGCCCCCATGTCAGGCAGCGGGGAGGTCATGCGCGCTTGGAGGTCCCTCGCTTCGATCATCAGACGGGCGCAAGGGCTTAGATGTGGTTCGTTGGAGGCAGCCAAGGAGATGGCGGCCAGGGCGGCACCGCCGCCAGACGTCTCGCTGTGTGTCAGGCTGCCCGACTACGCCCAGGGACACACGTTCGGTCAGATGGCGATCTGGTCGACGAGCTCGGCGGGGTCGGCTACTGCGCCTCAGGCTACGACGACCTCCCCCGCCTGGACTCACTCGCTCCGACCTGCGAAGGCCGAGAGGCGGCCAGCCCCCGCGGGCCCTCTCGGAGAGGAGGGGCTCCGCCCAGTGGGCGAGGCGCCGCATCGGCTGGAGGAGGAGCTGGTGGGTTGCACGGCGCCTACCTCTCAGATCGGGTCGTGTGCTTCGTTTGCGCCCACGCCTGGGTCTTCGGCCTCCCTCGCCTGGGCCCTCTTGCTCCGACCTGAGAAGGCTGAGACCCCGAACGCCTCGGCACGGCCCCCCCTCCTCGAGGGAGCGGCCTGCCCAGCAGGCAGTCTCGGAGTTTCGCTGGAGGAGGAGAAGCGGGGTGCCATGGCGGCTACTTCGCGAAGGCCAATGGCGTCGTGTTCGTTGGATGGGCAGCAGGTGCTGCTCGGCTTGCTCGAAGAACTGGACGCCATCGACGGGGCGTCCTTGCACGGCTTCGACTCCATCGGGCTAGGCTACCACCAGGTTCGGCACACGATCGAGCTGGGCGGGGAAGTCCTGGACACGCTCTGCGTCAAAGTCAGCGACGCGGCCCAGGAGGCCTCGGCGGCGGCTGCCCAAGCTGAACTACAGGAGTGGCGAGTATGGGCCCAGGCCTCAGTCAAGGCTGGGGGGCGCAAGGCGCACAGGTTCATCAAGCAGTCGCCCCAGGCCTCAGGGCCCAAGGCCCCCGAGGGTTGGGCTTTGCAGGGTGATGGTGCAGTCGATGCCATGGTCGAGGAGTGGTCGCAGTACTGGGACGACGCCAAGCAGTGCATCTCGGACCAGCAGCACGCGCTGGCGAACAACTCCGACCTTCCTCGCCCCACAGTCGAGAGAGTACGACAGGCCTGCCGTTCGTTTGGCCGCACGGTTGGGCTTGGCGTGGATTGCGTCAACCCACGTTCGTTTTTGCTGTTAGATGACCAGTTTATCCTCAGGCTGATTGACGTATTGGTGATGTGGGAGGCGGACCCACGCTTGCCTGAACGTTGGCCAACAATCATGGTCTTCCTCTCCAAGCCAGATGGATCTGGAGTCAGGCCGATCGCCCTCTTATGCTCCATCCTCAGGGTCTGGGGCAAGGTCAGGCGCGACATGGCCAAGGAGTGGGAAGAGCAACACGCCTCCCCCGTTTTTTGGGGGGCCAAGGATCGTGAGTGTGATCGGGCAGGTTGGATGCATCAGATGCTCGCACACTACGCAGCAGTCAGAGGGCTGGACACGGCCACATTGGCCACGGACCTCGACAAGTTCTACGAGAGAGTGTGCCACTTCGTGCTATTCAATGAGGGGGAGGGATGTGGTTTCCCAGTCAAGCTTCTCAGGGCAGCTTGCGGCCTTTATGCCGGCCCCAGGACTATCAGCTTCCGAGGGTGTGTCTCGGACGTCATCAGGGCGGTGGGCACAGTGCTGGCTGGTTGTTCACTAGCCACATCGCTGGCGAGGGTCTTGGTCTACAGGCTTCTCACGACGCTGGCGGCAGCTCATCCATCAGTTCACATTCGGAACGTCATAGACGACATCAGCGCGCAGTCCCTGGGCACGGGCTTCCACGTCGTCTCCCAGCTGGGCGAGGTCGGGAGCAAGCTCATCGGGGGCTTGCGCGAGCTGCGCCTCGTGCTGTCTGAGAAAAAATGCAAGTTCCTGGCGTCGTCCAAAAAAGTTGCACATGGATTGCTGAGCAGGTGGAACATGTCCTTTGAACGCCGAGGAGTCATCAGGAGCCTCGGCACGGATTGGCAAGTGAGTTCGTCTAGGCTGGCCCCCATAGCCTCTAAGAGGGTGGGGCTCTGTATCAGGCGCTCTGCGAGGCTCCGTAGTCTTAGGAGGGCTGGCGCCCCTGTAGGCCACATTCAGCGTGCGGGCCCCCAAGCCTCAGCTCTTTGGGGATGTGCTGTTAGGGGGCTCCCGTGGTCTTCCCTCAACAGAGTCCGTCAGCAGGCCCTTTTGGCCCTTGCTCCCATGAAGCGGGGTGCCTCGGTGGGCCTCAAGCTGCGCTCATTTAAGCTCGGTAGGAAGGTCGACCCTGTGCTTTTGTATTTCCGCCAGGTTATCTTTGAATGGGCCAGGGCCCTCTGGGAGGCCACCCCCAAGCTAGAGATTTTGCAGGCCACCTTCGAAGATGCCGTGCGTGTGCTGGCCAACACAAGCAGACCCTGGTCTCGGGCGACTTCGCCCGCTCACGTGTACGTTCTGGCGTGTGGTGACTTGGGCTGGACAGCACACTCGGCACGTTCGGTCACTCTACAGACAGGTGAGCAGATCGATCTGCTACGCCTAGCTCCGCGCGTTGTGGCCGACCTGGCAGGAAAGGCTGCCAGGGAGATGTCGGATTACCGAGCCCTCAGCTCTCGTGCTGGATCCAGCACCTGGTGCCGTCCGATTTTTTGGCAGCCTGCTGAGGGTCTCCTAAGCAGGACGACCGACACCTGGACCCGAGCGCATCAAAACTCGTTTAGAGCGGCGGTCTCGGGCACCCATTGGCCTCAGGAGAGGCTACATCGGCACGGCTTTGCTACGTCGCCGTTATGTTTGCTGTGTCAAGGGGAGCCTGGGACCGTGTTTCACCGTCGGTTTGTCTGTGAAGCCTGGGAAGAGGACCGCAGGCACTTTCTTTCGGACGAATGTCGGCAGGCTGCACGCCTAGTTCGCTCCTGGTGCGGAGATGCGGAGCTCTTTGCCAATGGCCTCTTCCCCTTTCCTCGTGAGCTCGTCCCTCCTCCGCTCCGCTCGAGTGAGTGCCAGATTTTGTGGATTCACAAGCCTGAGGACGGGATGCTCAGAGGCCGCCTCTTTACAGATGGGTCGGCCCTGCACCCGTCCGACGAGTCCCTCCGTAGGGCTGGATGGAGCGTGGTGCAGGTCGACTCGGAGGGATCTCTGGTCGCTGCGGCCTTCGGCCCTGTCCCATGGGACCTCTCGCCCTTACAGTGGGCGCGAGACGGAGAGGACTACGCCTTCTATATGTTGCCGCAGCTCACGGTCCCGCATGAGGTCGAAGGCATTTGGTCCGACTGCGAGGGATCGGTGGCAGCTGCTCGAGCTCGTGTGGCGTCCGTCTCAGCACAGAGCCCTCAGGCCCACATGTGGTCTCGGATCCATGCGGCGTTCGAGGAAGGGCTCCCCGTCTTCAAAACGAAAGCACACCTCTCGGAGGCTGACCTGGCCCTGGGCATGTCTGCTCCGTGGGAACGGAAAGCGAATGCTATAGCAGATGTCCTGGCCAAGCGGGGAGCGGCCCAGCATCCGTCTGTGCAGCAGGCCGCCAGCCAGGTCCGTGGGCTCAGCTTGTTGGGTCGGGAGGTGGGCCAGTGGGCTGGGCGGCAAGAAGTGCTCATGTCTCAAAGGGGCTGGGTGGACTCCCAGGGGCTCCCTGAGGTTCCCGCTGCGCCTAGGGGCAGCAGAAGGCCTGCTCGGCAGCCCGCCTGCCCCCGTGCTTGGGTGCACTTTAGAGCGGTCCTCTCGGATGTCTCCCAGGGCCCCCAGGACCCCGAGCTTGGAGTTTTGGTGCAGCTTACAGGGCACTGCCTTAGAGCCACCAGCGTGTTCAACGAGACTGGAGCCAGCGTCATCGCTGGCCACAGGCTCATCTGTTGTGTTTCTTGTGGGGCCTTTGCTTGGGGCAATGTGAGGGCCCTCTCGCAGGCTTGCCATCCCGCCCAAGCGGGCAAGGGTCTCAGGCAGCAGAAGGCCCGACTGTTGGCTCGCAAGTTTCCCAGGTGGCTGTCCAAGTATTCGGGCTGGTCTCTGGGGGAGTTGGAGATCCCGACCCCGTCCGATCTCCTGTCTCTCGCCTCCACCATCCTTGCTGCGCGCCCGAGGCCCGCAGCGCCGTCAGCCCATCCCGTCTTCCGACCAGGACCGCCGTGGCGCCCCTGCTGGACACCAGGTGTCCTGCTCTCTCGCTTCGGCGTCTCGTTCGAGACCCTCCCGTTCTGGGAGGCCCAGGCGCGCGCCGCCCTCGGCATGGGGCAGGACGCGGGCGGGGCCCCCGAGGATTGCGAGGAGGTGTAATTCGTTTTTCGTTTTCATCTCGGCGGTTGGCGGCTTGGACGTCTTCCGCTCTCGTCTCATCTCATCTCATCTCATCTCCTTGCTGGGCTGGCGCCTTCTGCTCTGCTTCGATCGGCTCCTGTCCGGGGAGTTGCGCCGCGACGCGGAGGACAGCACCAAGACCGTCCGCGAAAGGGTGGCCGAGCGGTTGGACATGTTTTGGGCGGGGGAGTGGGACCAGCTCATCTGCCTCACGTCGATGCGGGTCAAAACACGTTCCGCCCAGAAAGGCTTGTCCAAGACCGTCCAGCGCATCTGGTACCTCTTGCACAAGGGCGAGCTGGGGAGGGCGTGCCAGGCAGCTTGGGGCACGGTCAAGACCCGGGACGTGGGCACCACACGCCAGGCATTTCTCACACAGCAGGGCTTGGGCGAGAACGTGGACCAAGTCGACGGGGGGGCGGAGGAGGACATGGATGCGGAGGAGGAGGAGGCGGACGGGGAGGGGGGCGCCGAGGCCCGTCTCAACCGTGCGCGCTCCCTGGCAGCCGACGTGTCCACGCACCTCATGGGGAACTGGCCGCGAGTGCCGCGGGGAGCCGGTTCGGGCCCACTGGGTGATCGTTTTGAACACTGGTTGCCTCTCGCCCACGCGGGCATGAGCGGCGAGAACAGCGCGCAGGTGCTGGGGGACCTGTGCATGGGGAACGTGCCGAGCGAGGCGAAAGACCTCCTGCTTGCAGGGCGCTTGCTGGGCATCGCCAAGCGGGACGCGGGCACGAGAGTGGTGGCATCTGGTACGGTCCCACGCCGACTGATCGGCCAGGCCGTGTGCGCCACGCGGAAGGCGGAGATCCGCAGCGCTGTCGGGCCCTACCAGTATGGCGTCCTGGAGCCGGGCGGGGCCGAAGCCTTGCAGAAAACGATCACCGCCCACGCAGAGTCGCACCCCGACTGGGCTTTCATCAGCGTGGACGTCCGGTCAGCTTTCCGCCGCCTCCGCCGCAGGCGCCTTTTCCGGGCCCTCCGCACGCGGTGCCCTGACCTGGAGTTGCTCGCCCGGTCAATCTACGACCGGGGAGGGGTGCACGCGGTCGCAGGGGAGGGCGAGGCCAGCTCCACGGTCGTCCAGTGGCTGGGCCTGGACGAGGGTTGCCCACTTTCCCTGGCGCTGTGGGGCATCTTCTTGGCGGGCCCCCTAGACGAGCTGAACGCCCAGTTGCGCACGTTGCACGTCGAGGCCAAGGCGGTCGCCTTCTTGGATGACGTCTACCTGTGGGTGCCCCGCGCGTGCGCCTCCACAGCCCTCCGGCTCGCGACGGAGCTCCTCGCGAACACGGGCCTCGAGGTTCACGCTGGGAAGACCAAGGTCTGGGTGCCGGCGGCCGCGGGCGAGCTGCCGGCCGAGCTGCGCCACGTGGCCGTGCCGGCGCTACCCTGCCTGGGCAGTGCCCTGCCGTTCATGAGGAACCACAGGGTGACGGAGGAGGACGGCGACGACTGGCGCAACGTCACCGCCGGGGTGGGTGCCGCCGACGAGGTGCCTCGGGCCGTGACTCGCCTGAAAAGTTTCAACGAGAGGCTCCAATCCCTAGTCATGGCGGGGCTCCCCATGCACGAGGCTTTCGCGCTGCTGCGCAACTTCGTGAACGGCTCCACCACCTACGCCCAGAGAGCACGACCAGGAGCCCCCGAGACGTGGAGGCCTTACGACGACTGGGTCGTCCATTTCGTGGGCGAGTGGCTCGGCGGGCAGCTGCGTCGCGGGCTGTGCTGTTTTTGCCGGTCAGAGATGGAGGGGGCGGCTTCTCTTCTGCCGAGCAGCGCGCCGACCCGGCCACCCTGGGGTCCTGGTCAACCACGTGGCGGGCAGTCCTCGCCGCGCAGGGCTTGTCCACGCTGGACGAGAGCGAGCGCGCCGCCCCAGGCTTCCACGCGGTGCTTGCGCAGGCCCGCCAGCGCACGGGCACCCGCAGGTGTGCCAGCGGAGGGCCCTCCCAGCGCTACCTGACGCGGTCGGCCCAGGCCCGGGAGCGCCGGCAGCTGGGGCAGGCGCTCGACCCGGAGGGCGCGAGCCTTCTGCGCAGCCAGGGGGCGGAAGGGGGCGCGTGGCTACAAGTGCCTCGCCGCGACGAGCACACGCTGGCCGACGACGAGTTTTGCGTGGCCTACCGCCGCCGCTTGCTCTTCGAGGACCCAGCGGGGCAGGGCGGGGCGCCGTGCCAACACCGCTCACGCCGGACGGACCACCCGTGCGCATCGGTGGCGCGCCAGCGCTACGGGAGCCACGCCTGCTGCTGCGACAAGGGTCCGGGCTTCTGCCGCAGGCACAACAGATGCCGCGACGCGCTGGCAGCGTGGTGCAAACGAGAGTGGGGAGAGGAAGAGGCACTCACCGAGCAAGCGTGCCCAAGATGGGACCGCGTGCGCGCAGACGGCACCATGGAGAGGGCAGTCCTCGACGTGGTGTTGCCGCACGACCCCGTCAGCTCCGGCCCCCTCGCCATCGACGTGAGCGTGGTCGAGGTCACCACACCAGACCCGGGCTTGGCAGCGGCCAGGTCTCGGCGCGACGGCCAAGCGGCCGCCGATCGGGAGCGAACAAAACACCAACGCTACCCGGGAGGCGGACTGCTGGCCGCTGCGCTCGAGACAGGCGGGCGGTGGGGCTCGGAGTTCCGCCGCTGGGCCAAGGCTGCGGCGCCCAGAGGCTTCCGGCGCGCGGAGGCGCTGGCCGACCTGCGCCAGAGCTTGGCCGCAGCCCTGCAGCGCGGGGTAGCCGCGCAGCTGCTCGCCGGCGCGGCCGGCCTCCCGCGCCCCTGGCACTACATAGGTCCGTGAGTGGTGTGCCCCGCCTTCCCCTCTTTCCTCCTCCCGCGCCCCCCCCTCTGCTCCCTGCGCTGCGTGCCTGCTTCCCCTCCTCCTGTGTCCCTCGTCCCTCCCTCCTCGTGCTCTCCTGTCTCTCCTGGCTCCGCGGCCTCTCTCGCTCCTCTCGCCCGTCCCCGTCCTCTCTGTCTGGTCGTCCCTCGTCCCCGTCTGCTTGCCGGGGGGCGCGGTGCATAATTTTGTAGGGGTGGCAGTAATTCCCGCCGCCACGGGCCCTCGGCGCGGTGCTACGGGACACGGCAGTTCTCCCCCCTGTCTTCTCGCTTCTTGTCCGCTTGCCTCGTTCCCTTGCTCGCTTCTTGTCCGCTTGCCTCCTTTGAGTGCAGGAGGAGGAGGAGGAGGAGGAGGAGGAGGAGGAGGAGGAGGAGGAGGCGGGGACTGGGGAGGAGGAGGAGGAGGAGGAGGAGGAGGAGGAGGAGGAGGAGGGGAGGAGGAAAGAGGAAAAGGAGAAGGAGGAGAAGGAGGAGGAGGGGGGGAGGAGGCAGGAGGAGGAGGAGGAGGAGGAGGAGGAGGAGGAGGAGGAGCAGGAGAAGGAGGAGGAGGAGAGAGGGGGAGGAGGAGGAGAGAGGAGGAGGAGGAGGGAGGAGGAGGAGGAGGAGGAGGACGAGGAGGAGAGGAGGAGGAGGAGGAGGAGGAGGAGGAGGAGGGGAGGAGGAGGAGGGAGGGGGAGGAGGAGGCGGGGGATGGGGAGGGGAAGGAGGAGGAGGAGGAGGAGGGAGGAGGGAGGAGGAGGATGAGGAGGATGAGGAGAGGAGGAGGAGGAGGAGTAGGAGGAGGTAGGCGGAGGAAGGGGAGGGGGGAAGAGGAGGAGTGAGGAGGAGGAGGAGGAGGAGGAGGAGGAGGAGATGAGGAGGACGAGGAGGAGGAGGAGGAGGAGGAGGAGGAGGGCCTTACCCTCGGGCCAGCTCTCCATCCTCTGGGGCCCAGGAGCGGCCCCAGAGAGCTCCAAGAGTGGCGGACGACGTTTATGACCCTTCATGACCCGCCTGCTCCGTGGCGAGTTGCCCTGGGCCGTTGGGGCCCTCGGCGCCCAGATCGGAGGGCGACCAGAGGGCGCGAGAGGCTGATCTCAGGCGAAGGTGTCGTGCGCTCTCGGGCCCATGGGACGACGAGAAGGTCTCAAGGACCCTCCGCACGAGCGGCAGCGCCAACGCGTGCTTGCCCACCGACGCCGCTCAATGCGACGCAGGCGGTGTTGCGATGGCGGCCACAGGCCGAGCGGGGTTGACACACGTTTGGCCAAGACGCATCCTGGGGATCATCGGAGGTCACGGCGTGGGAGGGCTGGTGCCAGGCGAGGGCCTGGCTGTGCTGACCTTCGGTGGCTCACAGGTCGGGGTTCTTCCACGGAGAGTCCGCCGCGAAGACGTACTCCACGACCTGCGCCAGCTCGCCCTGCTTCCACACGCCGCTGAGGACGTGCCCTTCCCGCTGCTTCAGCACGCCCCTGCCCTCCTTCCGCCCGGCCACGAACTCGCCGTCGTAGGCGGACCCGTCCTCGGCGCAGTTGAACTGCCCCCTGCCGTGGCGCTTGTCGTCGAGCCACTGGCCCTCGTACACGTTGCCGTTCGCGTAGACGAACTGACCGAAGCCGCACGCCCTGTCGTCCTTCCACTGCCCCTTGAAGCGGTCGCCGTTCGAGTAGATCAGCTCGCCCTCGCCCTCCTTCTTCGCGTCGCACCAGTCCCCGACGAACTTGTCGCCGTAGGTGTAGATGAGCGTGCCTTTGCCGTGCACCTTGTCGGCCTTCCAGTACCCGTCGTACTTCTCCCCGTTCTGGTACGTCAAGGTGCCATATCCCTCCTTCATGTCGTTGACCCACTCGCCATCGTACGTGTTCCCGTTCGGAAAGACGTAGATGCCCTTCCCATGCATCTTTCCATCGTACCAATCGCCCTCGTACACGCCCTGGTCCGCGTACTGGTACTTCCCCTGCCCGTGCATCTTGCCAGCCACCCAATCGCCCTCGAACTTCTCCACGACGCTGCCCCGCGCGCTGACATACGTGACTACACCCTTGCCGTGACGTTTGTCGTCCAGCCACTCGCCCTGGTACACGTCGCCCTCCGAGTAGCGGTAGGTGCCGCGGCCGTGCATCTTCCCGTCGTGCCAATCTCCGTCGTACTGGTCATTGTTGGAATAGGTCAACGTGCCGTATCCGTGTATGCGACCGTTCTCCCACGAACCTTCGTATCGGTTGCCCGACGCGAAGACGGCGATGCCTTGGCCGTGGATCCGGTCCTCCACCCACTGGCCGTCGAACACAGCACCGTCGGCGTACGTGAATCTGCCGGTGCCCTCTCGCTTGCCGTAGATCCACTCGCCCTCGTAGCGCTCGTTGCCGGCGTAGACGAGGGTACCCCTTCCGTGGAAGAGGCCGTCCTTGATCTGGCCGTTGTAGGCGTTCCCCGCCTCGGCCATTGCTTCCTGGACTGGTACTCTCTACCCAGCCGGGAGGGTCCAAGACCTCGGAGGTGGACGGCCCGGGCCTCCACTTCTGAATGATTCGTCAGTGGAGGGGGCATGCTCTGCATTATGAGATCCGGTGGCAGGCCTCTGGACATACTGTGCAGGCACCTATGGCTGCCACGTGTGGACGATCTTCCCGAAAAACCCTGACACCAAACACATGCCGTCTCACCTCCTTTGGGACATCGCCTCTTGCTTCCGCCGGCCTCCGCCGAGCTTCCGCCCGAATCTTCGCCGGCGGAGCTGCCGCCATCTCACCTCCGCCGCCTTCCGCCGACCTTCCGCCGCGGAAGGGATGGTCACTCCCTCGGCCCGCGACGGAGAGGCCCTCTCTGGGACGCCCCACGCAGCATCAAGTCGGGCGTTTCCCCCTGCAGGCGGATTCTGGACAAAAAGTGGAAAAGAGTCAAAGCATGCACCAATAGGATCAAACATAGACAACAAATCGTCCCCGGACTACTGTTTGCCTATTTTTTATCATGCTCCTGCTGTAGAGGGACAGGCCCGACGTGATATCACCATCGAGGGGCCTTCAAGCAGCTCCGCCCGTGGGCCCCCGGGGGCGCCGCGGGACGGAGGCACGCCGCAGGGCCGCCGCTCGGCTGGCCTCAGGTCGGGCATGCCCCCCCACGGTGGATTTTGGACGAAGGGTCAAAAATACCCCCCAAATGCGGAACAATATTCAAAACATCTGCAAAAAATCGTCCCCCGACTATTTTTGACTGTTTTTGAACATCCCCCCTGTAGAGGGACAGGCCCGACTTAAGGCTGGCCGTGTCCTGATTCCCCTCACGGACGGCGCACGGCTCCTCCGCCACAGGCCTCCGCCACCGTGCCCGCGCTCACGGCGTGGGCCCGAAGGCTCCCGTACATGGACGATAAATTCGAGCCCTGCGGCGCAGGATACGCCCCTGGACCCCCCAAAATTGAATTTCTGAGGCTGCGGCAAGGGGAGAGGGCAGGGGTGGACAGAAATTGTACCACCCATGCTGAAATCAACATTGATTTCGGGGGCCGGGGGGGGGATGAACATCCCCCTCAAGTGTGTGAGGGTTCGATTTGTTGTCCATGTACTGTCTCGACCCCATCCCTGAAGCCGTTATTCCGCCCCGCGCCGCCTTCTGCTGACCCCTGACCACGGATCGACCTGAACGGTGTTTTCGTTTTCATGTTGTTATCGTTTTCCCTGGTGTTGTCTTCAATCCGCCTTTGCTGCAAAACGAAATCGAAACGAAAACGGCCTCACGAAATCGCCAATACACCGTTAAGGTGGACCCCTGCCCCTGACCAACCGAGACGCCAGCGCGCCCGAGCACAGCTGTGGCCGTGGGTCGAAGCTGGCGTGCTGGACAGTACCCCCAGGCCTGGCTGCCCAGGCAAAGGTACAGTCGGACCTAGGACAGGGTAACAGCCTTCAAGATCATGAGACCCTCCGCCAGCCAAGCCAAAGAACATTCGAGGGTAACCCTCCCCCTGGATGCACAAGAGAATCCAACGAACACGAAGAACATCAGGGTACCCTCCCCGAACCGACCTCGATCTTGTACCTCGGTCCGACCGTATCCCCAGACCTGGCTGCCCTGGCACAGGTAGGGAGGCCTGGGGCCTGTTCGCCACTAGGACTCGGAGGGAGTCTGGCACGTGAGCAGCCGCACGCAGGCAGCGCAAGGCATCGTGCGACAGCGGCCCGGGGAGCCACGGAGACCGCGGCCGGCGGCGCAAGCGGACTGTTCCAGGGCTTCTGCGTGAAGAGGCCTCTGGTGCGCTCTGCTCGGGGGGGACGGGCGCCGGGCGTGTTTTCTGCTTCTCGGCGCCAGGGGTCCAGGGTTCCGGGTGTCCAGGCGTCCCTTCACCAGCTGGCCCGGCTCTGCGCTCCCGGGCCGCGCCTCGCGGCGACGGGCAGCTTTGGCGCGGACTCCGAGGCGCGACGCGCGGTCACTGTAGCGTCCCTGCGTGCGGTCCACTGCAAGCCCGACAACAATCCCCGGCCGTACCCTGGAGAGCGTTCCGACCGTAACCTCGAGACGGACCCATCCGCGGCGATGAGGGGGGGCGCCAGAAGGTTCGGGGGAGAAGGAGGAGCAGACAGAGGGGGCGAGTAGAAGGACAGGGAGGTGGAGGAGCGCGGCGGAGTGAGGAGGAGTGAGGAGACGTGAGGAGTGAGGAGTGAGAAGGTGCGAGGAGGAGGCGGAGGAGGAGGAGGAGTGAGTATACCTGATGATGAGGAGGAGGAGGAAGGGGAGGAGGAGGAAGAGGAGGATAGGGGGGGAGGAGTAGCAGACGGATCAAAACAAGCACTGGTAATGAGCAAGAGCACGTAGCCGGTTGTCTAAATCCAGATCCTCTGAGGCCTCTGGGCGCTGGTGGAAGTCTGATGCATAAACCCTCTATCCTCATCTTCTTCCTCCTCCTCCATCTCCTCGATCCTCCTCCTCCTCCTCCGCCTACTCCTCCTCCTCGCTCCTCCTCCATGTCTTCACTTCATAGATGAATCCCCCTGTCGCACCCCAGTGCCGATTGAAAGGGCGGGCCGGGCGTTCCGCCTCAGACTTCCTCAAAGCTTAAACATTGAAGCAATTTCACAATTGGAGGGCAGGTGGTTTTCAACATGTGGATCTCGTCGTAGCATCGCGCATAGTCATTTTAAACAATTGCAAAAAGCTTTTCAGATTGAGGGCGGGTCGTTTTCAAAATGCGGCTCTCGCCTTAGCGCCTCGCACATTCGTTTTAAACATCTGCAAAAGCTTCACGGGTTGAGGGCGGGCCGTTTTCAACCTGTGGCTCTCGCCTTAGCACCGCGCACATTCTTTCTCAACGTTTGCAAGTTCCACGGATTGAGGACAGGCCGTTTTCGGTGTGGCTCTCGCCTTAGCGCCTCTCACATTCGTTTGCCGAAGATTGCAAGAATTTCGCGGATTGAGGGCTGGCCCCTTTTCAAAATGTGGCTCTCGCGTGGGCGCCGCGCATATTCATTCTAACATTTGCAAAAGCTTCACGCATTGAGGGCGGGTCGTTTTCAAAATGCGGCTTTCGCCTTGGCGCCGTGCACATTCGTTTACAAAATTATGCTAACGGAGTTCCCCACATAAAGATGTTACGGGGTTCCATTGCTTCTTGTCTGCGCTCTGGTGGGGCCTCCCTGGAGGGGTGGGAGGGGCACGAAACCTGATGAATAATATGGTGTGCGAATACCCTGCCCGCTCTGGTGGGGCCTCCCTGGAGGGGTGGGAGGGGCACGAAACCTGACAAATATTATGGTGTACGGATACCCTGCCCGCTCTGGTGGGGCCTCCCTGGAGGGGTGGGAGGGGCACGACACCTGATAAATAACATGGTGTGCGAATACCCTGCCCGCTCTGGTGGGGCCTCCCTGGAGGGGCGGGAACGGCACGAAACCTAATAATAAAATATGGCGTGCGAATACCCTGCCCGCTCTGGCGGGGCCTCCCTGGAGTGGCGGGAGGGGCACGAAACCTGATAAATAATATGGTGTGCGAATGCCCTGCCCGCTCTGGTGGGGCCTCCCTGGAGGGGTGGGAGGGGCATGAAACCTGATAAATCATATGGTGTGAATGCCCTGCCCGCTCTGGCGGGGCCTCCCTGGAATGTTGGGAGGGGCGCGAAACCATAACATGGTGTGCGGATACCCTGCCCGCTCTGGTGGGGCCTCCCTGGAGGGGTGGGAGGGGCACGAAACCTGATAAATAACATGGTGTGCGAATACCCTGCCCGCTCTGGTGGTGGGGCCTCCCTGGAGGGGTGGGAGGGGCACGAAACCCATATAAATAGCATGGTGTGCGAATACCCTGCTCGCTCAGGCGGGGCCTCCCTGGAGGGGTGGGAGGGGCACGAAACCTGATAAATAACATGGTGTGCGAATACCCTGCTCGCTCAGGCGGGGCCTCCCTGGAGGGGTGGGAGGGGCACGAAACCTTATAAATAACATGGTGTGCGAATACCTGCTCGCTCAGGCGGGGCCCCCCTGGAGGGGTGGGATGGGCAGGAACCTGATAAATAATATGGTGTGCGAATACCCTGCCCGCTCAGGCGGGGCCTCCCTGGAGGGGTGGGAGGGGCACGAAACCTGATAAATAACATGGTGTGCGAATACCCTGCCCGCTCTGGCGGGGCCTCCCTGGAGGGGTGGGAGGGGCACGAAACCTGATAAATAACATGGTGTGCGAATACCCTGCTCGCTCAGGCGGGGCCTCCCTGGAGGGGTGGGAGGGGCACGAAACCTGATAAATAACATGGTGTGCGAATACCTTGCTTGCTCAGGCTGGGCCTCCCTGGAGGGGTGGGAGAGGCACGGAAATTTATAAATAACATGGTGTGCGAATGCCCTGCTCGCTCAGGCGGGGCCTCCCTGGAGGGGTGGAGGGGCACGAAACCTGATAAATATTATGGTGTTTGGTGTGCGAATTAACCCTACCCTGCTCGCGTTCAGAAGAAGCGGGCCCTCCTGGAGGGGTGGGGGAGGGGCAAAACACGAAAACCATATAAGTAACATAGGTGTGGGTGTGGTGCGAAGTACCCCCCTGCTTGCTCAGGCTGGGCCTCCCTGGAGGGGTAGGAGATGCACGAAAACTTATAAATAACATGGTGTGCGAATACCCTGCTCGCTCAGGCGGGGCCTCCCTGGAGGGGTGGGATGGGCAGGATACCTGATAAATAACATGGTGTGCGAACGCCCTTCCCGCTCTGGCGGGGCCCCCCTGGAGGGGTGGGAGGGGCACGAAACCTGATACATAGCATGGTGTGCGAATACCCTGCTCGCTCAGGCGGGGCCCCTCGGAGAGGGTGGGGGGGGCAACGAAACCTGATAAATATACATGGTGTAGCGAATAACCCTGCCCGCTCATCGCGGGTCCTCCCGGGAGGGGTGTGAAGGGGCACGAAACCGTGGGGGGGAGGGGGGAGATTGAACAGGGGGTTGGGGGGAGGAGGAATGGGGGGGGGGGGGGGGGGGGGGGGGGGGTCCCTCGCGCTCAGGCGGGGCCTCCCTGGAGGGGGGGGGAGGGGCACGAAACCGAAAAGAACATGGTGGGCGATAACCCTGCTCGCTCAGACCAGGCGGGGCCATCCCTGGAGGGGTGGGAGGGGCACGAAACCAGGATAATAGCATGTGTGCGAATACCTGCTCGCTCAGGCGGGGCTCCCTGGAGGGGCGGGAACGGCACGAAACCTGATAAATAACATGGTGTGCGAATACCCTGCTCGCTC